TTATTTGTGGGGCATAGGAATTTGTTCATTCCCCCCCCCCAAAAAAAGAAAAAATATAGTCCAGCCCCCCACAAGGTCTGAGGGACAATGGACCGGCCTCCTGCTGAAAACGCTTGCTGACCCCTGGTCTAGAAATAGAGATATACCTGTCAAGTAAGTGGTCAAAAGGAAACCCAGCAAGGGATAATGGTGATGACTCATTGAGATTTAACAAGCCAGCCTGGTAATTGCCTGTCCTACACAGGAGAAGGTGCACTCAAATGTACACACACAGATGGTGCACTTAAAACCATGTGAAATGACCCCAACAGTGCCCACCTTAAAGGGGCGGGGAGAGATTTCCTCCCTCTAGCTATACTCCAGTTCTTGATCTCCTGGCTAGCCTAAAAAACAGGAGCAGGAACATCATTCACCATCAGTTCAGGGAGGGAACATTTACGTGTCCTCTAAGAGACAAATGGGACGCAGGTGGCGCTGTGGGTTAAACCACAGAGCCTAGGACTTGCCGATCAAAAGGTTAGTGGTTCGAATCCCCGCAACGGGTTCAGCTCCCGTTGCTCGGTCCCTGCTTTTGCCAACCTAGCAGTTCGAAAGCACGTCAAAGTGCAAGTAGATAAATAGGTACCGCTCCGGCGGGAAGGTAAACGGCGTTTCAATGCGCTGCTCTGGTTCGCCAGAAGCATCTTAGTCATGCTGGCCAGCTCCCTCGGCCAATAAAGCGAGATGAGCGCCGTAACCCCAGAGTTGGCCACGACTGGACCTAATGGTCAGGGGTCCCTTTACCTTTCAAGAGAGAAATGCATCTACATTTATCCCAAAAAGGATGAGCTCTTTCCCCCTTGCAGGGCAACCCAGACTTGCACGAACAAGGCCAGAAAAACAAGGTAGAAAACAGGAACTTTGACCACGAAGGGCTCCATGGAAATCAAGCACATGGAGAAACGGAGCTGCAGGAAGCTAGTATTATTGCTGGTTCAGCACCCTGTCTAAAGATAACTGGAGAAATATGGTCTCTTCCTGGGAAAGAATGTTTTCCCTCACAACACACTTCCTCATTTGATCAGAAACATTTCAATCTCACAGTCCACATGTCCTTTTAGGATTCCCAAATTCTGAAGTCCATGTCTCGGGCAATTTGAAGCCTTCCAACGCAAGTACATGGGCAAGGGCAGTTTCTGCTTTGTATAAAAAAAGGTCCCAAGTTCAATCCCTGACAGCTGCCTGGAACCCTGACACACTGCTGCCAGTCAGTGTAGACAATACTAAGCTAGGTGGTCTGATGTGGGCATATACGAAACTCCCAATTACCACTCCCCCCTTTTTTTCTGTACTTTTTACAAACAGCAATCAGGAAAGTGTTTGTTGTACCTGTCCTTTGACATGGAGTCAAAAGAGGGTGCAGAACATCCCACATGGCTGGGATAGTGATTTGTAGCAGAAGACACAGAGGTGCTAATAGAAGAAGAGTTTGGATTTGATATCCCATTTTATCACAACCTGAAGGAGTCTCAAAGCAGCTAACATTCTCCTTTCCCTTCCTCCCCACAACAAACACTCTGTGAGGTGAGTGGGGCTGAGAGACTTCAAGGAAATGTGACTAGCCCAAGGTCACCCAGCAGCTGCATGTGGAGGAGCGGAGACGCGAACCCGGTTCCCCAGATTACGAGTCCACCGCTCTTAACCACTACACCACACTGGTTCCCTAGGAAGCTTAGATACAAGTTGATGAGCTCAGGAGGGGCGGGGGGGGGGGGGTGGAATCAGGGACAGAAATATCCCCCAAAGGGATAAGAGTAGCTGGATGAAAATAGGGAGGGAGGGAGGCTTTTAAATCCCTGGAAGCAGAGAGGAGGCTTTTGGTTCCCCATCCAATCACAGGGAGGACCATTCCAGGAAGAAGTAGCAGCCTAACAAAAAGGACCAACACAGCTCAGTGGTAGAGCATCAGGTTTACATGTAAATGGTTCTGGGTTCAAGACCTGACATCTCCAGCTAAAAGGAGGAAGGAAGGGGGATGAACAAACCTGGGAAAGTCCTGAAGCCTTTAAGAGCTGCCACTGGTCAGAGCAGAGAAAGCTGGGCATGAATGGGCCAATGGCACCTTTGTATATTCACATCAGCTCCCATGAAACAGAATAAGATGTCTGGGTGTCCCATCTCTAAGGGGACTTTGGGGGGCAGGGGGAAAACCTTGGCCACTCAAGATTTTAGACAACTGGAGGCCAAGGAGAATGGTACCAAGGTAGCTAAGAGTAGCAGGTAGAGGAAGAAGACCAAGATGTGAATTCCCATTAAAGCGCTGCAGCAGAGGTGCTTGCCAACGTTTACGCTGACTTTGGTGACACTGGAGAAAGACAGTTGCTACCAGGGACAGCAGCTCTGAAAAGCCTTGCAAAAGCCCAGCTATTTTCATAATTTCTTTGTCAAACTTTAAGTTGAGGGGGTCAGGGGAAGGGTCTGACATGGAAAGGATCAATTTGATTATTTATATGACCCAGGTGTCTGGTTGTGGACACCACCAAAGGACACAAAACATCCACCAACCATAAGTGGAGGTTTACTATGGTCACTTAATAACAGTATCATTTTAATTTAAATAATAGTAAAAAGAGTAGTAGGATGAAGGACAACTGAAGCCAAAGAAGCATCATTGGAACAACTTGCCAGGGTGGGGGTGGGAATCCTTTTATGTAGAGGAGGGGGGTCATTATAAACTTTTTTATTTATTCTATTTATTTGTCACATTTTTGGACTCATGTACCTCAAAGCTACTTAAGAAGGAAAAAATAAAATGACAAAGGCATTAGATGAAAAGAGCAGCAAACATCCGACAATAAATTTAAAATGAACAGACCATCCCCACTTCACCTAAAGGTCATAGTGCCACTGTATTCTGCTCTGGTCAGACCTCACCTGGAGTACTGTGTCCAGTTCTGGGCACCACAGTTCAAGAAGGACACTGACAAACTGGAACGTGTCCAGAGGAGGGCAACCAAAATGGTCAAAGGCCTGGAAACGATGCCTTATGAGGAACGGCTAAGGGAGCTGGGCATGTTTAGCCTGGAGAAGAGGAGGTTAAGGGGTGATATGATAGCCATGTTCAAATATATAAAAGGATGTCACATAGAGGAGGGAGAAAGGTTGTTTTCTGCTGCTCCAGAGAAGCGGACACGGAGCAATGGATCCAAACTACAAGAAAGAAGATTCCACCTAAACATTAGGAAGAACTTCCTGACAGTAAGAGCTGTTCGACAGTGGAATTTGCTGCCAAGGAGTGTGGTGGAGTCTCCTTCTTTGGAGGTCTTTAAGCAGAGGCTTGACAACCATATGTCAGGAGTGCTCTGATGGTGTTTCCTGCTTGGCAGGGGGTTGGATTCGATGGCCCTTGTGGTCTCTTCCAACTCTATGATTCTATGATTCTATGATTCATCCTCAGTGGCTAAGCAAAGGTCATTGGCATAACTAACTACCCTTGCAATTAAAAACCAGAAGCCTAAATAAGGGTGGTTTTGCCTGGCACCTAAAATCGTGCTAGCCTGGGGAGAGCATTCTGCCAACAGGGAACCCCCTCTGAAAAGGCCCACTCTCATGCTGACATCCTCTCTGCCTCCCTCACAAAGACCACAAGGAAGGGCAGAGTCCACGTTGGTTTATGTGGGTAAAGGCGGTCCTTGAAGTAGCAGGATCTTGAGTCACTTAAGGCTTTATAGGTCAAAAGCCAGTCCCCAAACTAATCAGTAGTAGCCAGTGCAGTCAAACCAGATATGCTCAGACCCTCTTGGGTTATGCTCTTGGATGGTCTTGTGACTGTGTGATTTAAGCACCAGTGTGGTGTAATGCTTAAAGGTGTTAGACTCTGACCTTGGGAGACAAGGGTTCGAATCCTCACACAGCCACCAAGCTCACTGGGTGGCCTTTGGCCAGTCACTACCTCTCTGCCTAACCTACTTCAGAGTTGTAGTAGGGATTAAATGAAATGAGGAAGGGAGAACCATGCATGCCACCTTGAGTTCCACAGGGGGAAAGTTAGGATATAAAATGTAATAAATAAATCAAACATAACTTAAGAGCAGTCAAAGGCCAAGGTCAGGGGAATGCAAAGACCTGAAGCGGCTTCCACCTCCTGAAGGGAATCCAAGCGGACCACATGCAAAAGAAAAAGGGGGATGGGTTGCAATCCTTCATTTGGTTCACATTCACTGTACCCCAACTCTCACAGAGTGCTGGTTTGGGGGGCAATTTGGGGGAGACAAGGGTGAGGGGTTTATAAAAGTATGGTGCTGGGAAAGAGCAAAGAGGGATCTATCCTGGCTGACCCTTCAGTCAGCCGTCATGGCGGAGGAGTTGTATCTGGGATATTGGAGAGGGTTATCTGGATAGGAGAAGCAGGCTCTAGAAGATATTCATAGGAAGGGGAGACTCATAATTGGAGCCAGGGTGGTGCAGGAGTTAGTGTCTGACAAGGACCCTGGAACTCCTTGGAGAAAAGGTGGGACAGAAATGCAGTAATAATATTGATGATAACAAGGATGATGGGCAGTACTAATCCTGGCTCATCCTCCTTGGCAGAGTTCCATCACAGGTGCTTTTGGCCTGCAGGTGTTGGCGGTGGGGGTGGTAGAGATAGCCTGCGTGGCACAGTGGTTTGAGTTCAAATCCCTCCACTCAGCCACGAAGCTCTCTGGGTGTGATCTTGGGCCAGGCACTGCCTTTCAGCCTAGCCTACCTCTCAGGATTGTGGTGGTTGCTGTCAGGATAAAAAAGGATTAGAACTTGGGAAAGACCAGCCAGCCTAGCCCACCTCACAAGGTTGTCGTGGGGGTATCAAACGGGGAGGGGCAAGGACCATTTACACCCATGTGGAACTCCTTGGAAAGAGAAAAGGTTGGGATAGAAATGAAGCAAATAAATAATAAATTAAATAAAGTACTGGCGGGGAGGAGAAGCACACTGCAAGCCCCCCCCCACACACACACACACCTCCCACCAGCCACTCTCACCTGGGCTCAGGGAGGGTGATCTTCTTGCTGGCGCGAGCGGCAGGCGAACTCTTGCTCTTCTCCATGGCCATGAGGTAGCTGACGTCCGCCAACACGGCCTCCAGGTCCGCCATCTTGGCTGCCCACAGGCCTGGGCCTTTGGCCTGGGACTCTGGCCAGGGCCCGCACTTGGCAAAAAACACCTGTCAGGTGGGGGTGGGGTGTCCCTCCTTCTCTCCCCAGGAGCCCCCCCCCTCAGCTGGCTAGCCCCTCCTCCTCCCTAAAAACAAAGGACCCCCCATGTAAGCAAGCCCTTCTCCCCTGCTAACTGGCATACCCCCCTAACCCAGGATCCTATGATTGACCCCCAATACCCTCACTTTATGTCCCCATTTCCAAATAGGGGCTAAAATGAACACTGTCCCCCTATCACCCACAAAATGACCAACAGACTCCCCCCCGTCCCTCCTTTTATATATAGACTACCCCCTCACCTTGGCTCTTCTAAATGAACCCCCTAAACTCTCTCACACGAAATTCCCCTGCTCTGAAGAAACCGCTCCCATTCATTTACGGCCTAAACCCCCCCCCGAAAAACCCTTTTGGGCCCCGCTTTCCCCTCCTCCAGGTCCCCCGAAGCCTTGCCAGTTCCCACCCTATATATCTGGGGTGGGGAGGGGGCTCGGAGTTCTGCTAGTCCTGGGGGGCCACCCCCCCGTGGCCTGGGAGGCTACCGGGGACCCCCCCTCCTCGCCAAGCCGAGACCCTCAAAGAAGAAGAAGCTGCTGCCACCGCCGCCTTCCCATCGCGAGGGAGCAAAAGATGGGAAAGGCTTGGGGGGGCGCAGCGCAGGCAAGCCCCCCCCCGAGCTGCTCCCCCCGCCCTCAGCGCCCCTCTTTCGGCAGGGGCAGCGAGGGAGAGCGGCTGGGGGGGCCCGTTGCAAAGAAGGAAAAAGCAGCCTATGCCCGGAGAGGGCAATGCACGCCGGGGGAGCAGAGAGCTGTGCCGCCCCGCAAGGCGGCTCCTTTCCTATTGCCGGGGGGGGGGGCGAAGAAGGGTCGCTGCCGCTGGGCAATCCGGCGCAAACGCCCCGACGCAGCTTCCTTGCAGCAGCAGCAGCAGCCGCCGCCGCCTTCGCGCGCTGCCCCCCGCTCCTCCTTTGCGGGCTTCTGCTGCTTCTGCCCGCCGAGGCTGAACTTCCTCTCCCGGCCCAGGAGCAGGAGAAGGACTGCAAGGACGAGGCGGCGGCGCCTTCCAAACTCCGGCGCTGGATCGTTTTCCTAGCCGCTCCGGACGGCAGTAAGAAGCCGAGCCGCTGCGGAATAGTGGGGCGGGGGCGCTGGAGGGGCCAGACTGCTGGCAGGCACCGCGCGTGGTTGCCTCCAAGCGGCCTCCTGCGAGGCGCTGCACTTCCTCACACGAAGCGATTTACTGATCCGCAATATGGACCGTGGGCTTCTGATTCCGATTAGAAGTTCTGCTTCATCCAGGAGCATAAGAGGAAGCTGCTTTAGGCCAGCAGTCGGGCCCCTGGTTCATCTCCTAGCCCACCAGGGAAGAGAAAAGCCTCTCCTCATAGCTGAGGCCTAATCCTTCCTTTTAAACTGGAGGTGCTGCAGACTGAAGCTCCGACCTGCCTGGAAAGCTGCTGCTCTCCTGCTGACCTGTGAGCCTGGACGCCTCAGTGGGAGGCAATTATTATTAAAAACAGTATATAACAACTGCAGCCTTGAATATATAGTGCAAAAGGGTTTCAACTAAAGGGGCACCTCAGATCAGCCAGGTAAGCTTTATAAAGGTCATTATTTTAAATAAAAGTGGAAACTTGGGGTTGGAAGAGACCTCAGGAATCATCTTGTTTAGCCCCCTACTAGCAGTAGCCATTCAGCCCCTGGCTCAAAAACTGCCAGTGAAGGAGAGTCCACCGGTTCCCCTGTCCAAAAGCTCAAACCACCAGGGACTTCTTCCTAATATTTAGGCTAAATCGTTTTCCTTCTGATTTGTATCCACTGGTTCAATAGCTACCCTCTGGGAGCAACAGAAAATGAATTTGATCCATTGTGTGTGTAACAGTCCTGCACATAGTTGAAAGTGGCCATCATATTGCCTCTTAATAGTCTCTTCTCCAGGCCAGCCAACTCCAAGGACTTGTTTTCCACTACAGTGGTACCTCGGGTTACATAAGCTTCAGGTTACAGACTCCGCTAACCCAAAAATATTACCTCGGGTTAAGAACTTTGCTTCAGGAAGAGAACAGAAATCGTGCTCCGGCAGCGCGGCAGCAGCAGGTGGCCCCATTAGCTAAAGTGGTGCTTCAGGTTAAGAACAGTTTCAGGTTAAGAACGGATCTCCAGAACAAATTAAGTTCTTAACCCGAGGTACCACTGTACTTCATCATCTTTGCCACTCTCCCCTACAGGCATCCCAGTTGCATTTCTAGAACAGGACATAGTTAATAATAAAGTCCTTATAAAAGTTGCAGGTGGCAAGCACCATTTTAGCCCAGGGCCTTCTCTCTTGGAAACTTGTACGCTGGATTACTCCCCCCCCCTTAATTATTTCCTTTATTAAATTGCAGCAAACATTTTGCTTTTTCCTGCATCTGGAGCTGGCACAGCAAATCCAAATCAAGTTATCCAATGTACCCTAACTCATTTTCATTTTCCACAAGCCCAACTGTATCTTTGGATATCCTTGATGTACATGAAGGCATTCGTTAGAAAATATACCAAGTCAGCAAAGGATTTTGTGCAGCAAGTATCCTCCACTCTTTAATAATTATTATTATTATTATTTATTATTTGTACCCCACCCATCTGGCTGGGTTTCCCCAGCCACTCTGGGCAGCTTCCAACAGAAATTAAAAATACATTAAAATGTCACACAGTAAAAACTTCCCTAAACAGGGCTGCCTTCAGATGTCTTATAAATGTCAGGTACTTGTTTTTCTCTTTGACATCTGATGAGAGGGCATTCCACAGGGCGGGTGCCACTACCGAGAAGGCCCTCTGCCTGGTTCCCTGTAGCTTGGCTTCTCACAGTGAGGGAACCGCCAGAAGGCCCTCGGCGCTGGACCTCAGCATCCAGGCAGAACGATGGGGGTGGAGACGCTCCTTCAGGTATACTGGGCCAAGGCCATTTAGCGCTTTAAAGGTCAGCACCAACACTTTGAATTGTGCTCGGAAACGTACTGGGAGCCAATGTAGGTCTTTCAAGACCGGTGTTATATGGTCTCGGCGGCCGCTCCCAGTCACCAGTCTAGCTGCCGCATTCTGGATTAGTTGTAGTTTCTGGGTCACCTTCAAAGGTAGCCCCACGTAGAGCACATTGCAGTAGTCCAAGCGGGAGATAACTAGAGCATGCACCACTGGCGAGACAGTCTGTGGGCAGGGAGGGTCTAAGCCTGCGTACCAGATGGAGCTGGTAGACAGCTGCCCTGGATACAGAATTGACCTGCGCCTCCATGGACAGCTGCGAGTCCAAAATGACTCCCAGGCTGCGTACCTGGTCCTGGCACAGTTACCCTATTCAGGACCACAGAGTCCTCCACACCTGCCCACCTCCTGTCCCCTAAAAACAGTACTTCTGTCTTGTCGCCATCCATCCTCCAACCGCCTCCAGACACTCAGACAGGACCTTCACTGCCTTCACTGGTTCTGATTTGAAAGAGAGGTAGAGCTCGTTATCATCCGCATATTGATGGACACCCAGCCCAAAGCCCCTGATGATCTCCCAGCGGCTTCATGTAGATGTTAAAAAGCATAGGGGAGAAGATGCAACCCTAAGGCACCCCACAAGTGAGAGCCCAGGGGTCTAAACACTCATCCCCCCCACCACTTTCTGGACATGGCCCATGAGGAAGGAGCGGAACCACTGTATAACAGTTGTGATGGCCTGGGAATCTGATTCAGAAGCTGAACCTGAGGAGTCCCCGCCTCCAGGGCCGGCTGAGCCGGGGCAGGGGCTTGAATCTGAAGGGCCTGCACCTGTGCCGGATCCTTAGGAGCAGACACCAGATATATCCACTCTGGCTCCGGAGGTGATTGAGGACCCATTGCCTGCAGGTGCTCCTCTCCCAGCCTTGTCAGGGGAAGGTGAAGCTGCCCCTGGGTCCAGTAACCCTCCAGCCTCTCCTGAGCTGCAGAGACTCAGGGCAGAGAGGCGGAGGGAACTAAGTTCTCTCAGGAGGAGTGCTTGCCTTAAGGCCAGGAGAGGCGGGTCACCTGTGGGGCCGGGGCGGCCCCTGGCCTCAGAGGAGATAAAGGCCAGTCAGCCCAGTCCCAGGTTGCGGGAGCAACGTTGTTGGAAACCTGTTTCTGCCAGCACCCAGACCTGTTCTTCCGGAGTTCCTGACCACACCCGGCTTCTTGCTTTGGACCCCGCTTCGCCCTTGGTGGACAGTTTCCAGACCCTCGACCCAGGACCGGACTCTGACCACGCCTCTCGGTAACCCCCCCCCTCGGGTCCAGCACAACAGTGCTCCCAGCTCCTCTAGATGGTCCAGAAGGGTATTATGATCGATAGTATCAAAAGCCACTGAGAGATCCAGCAAAACTAGGAAACAGCTCTCACCTTCGTCCCTAGCCTGCCGGAGATCATCAACCAGCGCGACCAAGGCAGTTTCAGTCCCATGGTGAGGCCTGAATCCCAATTGGAAAGGGATCCGAATGGTCCGCATCCTCCAGGCGTGCTTGGAGTTGTTCAGCAACCCACCCGCTCAATCACCTTGCCCAAGAATGGAAGATTTGAGGCTGGGCGATAGTTGGCCAAGACACAGAAAAAACTCAATATGGAGGCCAAATGGCCGAAATATTGGGAAATTCTGGAAAAAGATGGAGACAGAATAAAATTGCAGAGCTTTGAAAAATTGAAAAACAAAGTGCGAGATTGGCTCCATTATTACCAAATAATGGAGGCATACAATTTGGACAAAAAAGTTGGTTTCCAGGTGGAAAAATCAAAATTGGAAACAGAATTGTTAGATCCAAAAATCAAGAATTTGTCAAGAATTTATAACTTGCTGTTGAAATGGAACACTCAGGATGAAATGGTGAAATCAGCTATGATTAAATGGGCACAAGATGTTGGACATAACATAATGATGGCTGACTGGGAACAGTTATGGACCACAGGTATGAAATTCATGGCATGTAATGCCCTAAGAGAAAATTTAATGAAAATGATTTATAGGTGGTACATGACACCAGTCAAGCTTGCAAAAATTTACCATTTGCCCGATAATAAATATTGGAAATGTAATGAGACTGAAGGTACATTCTTTCACCTTTGGTGGGCATGCCCAAGGATTAAGACATTCTGGGAGATGATTTATAACGAAATGAAAAAGATATTTAAATATACTTTTCTGAAGAAACCAGAGGCCTTTCTCCTGGGCATGGTCGGCCAAATGGTGCCAAAGAAGGATAGAACTTTTTTTATGTATGCAAAAACAGCAGCAAGAATACTTATTGCAAAGTACTGGAAGACACAAGATTTACCCACCCCGGAAGAATGGCAGATGAAGTTAATGGACTATATGGAACTGGCGGAAATGACTGGCAGAATCCGAGACCAGGGAGAAGAGTCGGTGGAAGAAGATTGGGAAAAGTTTAAAGACTATCTACAGAAACATTGTAAAATTAATGAATGTTAGAAAAATGTTGGAATGAAGTTATATGGCTTTAGTAGAAATGTTATAAGGAACAAGGTATAAAATTAATAAAGTATTAAAGGAAAAAATAAGGTTAGAATGTGTTAAGATAATTATAGGATAGAAAACAGAGGAAGATGGAAAGGAATTGCTGAAACAATTAACAGAAGTGGAACACAAAAAGGGAGGTGTGAGGAGGTCGTTGAAATAAGTGAATGAAAGATAAGATATTGAAATTGTTGTTTTTATGTTGTTCGATGTGGTTTGATGTGTTTTTTGTTTTGTTTTGTTAGTTTAATGAAGTGTTATGTAGTGTTTTGGCATTGTATTTCCCCCCCCCTTTTTTGTAGTGTTTAAATTGTTGGAAAAGTAATAAATATTATTTTTTTTAAAAAAAAGATAGTTGGCCATACTGGCCGGGTCTAAAGATGTTTT